CACTAGGAGAAGATACTGCGATCACTGTGTGCAGCACAGGTGAAATATTATGGCTGTTATAGGACTGTTTTAGGGAACTCTGGTGGTCTGGTAGCAAGAAGCTGCATCACAGTCCTGAAGGCATGTGGTTCGAGGCCACCAGCTGCTCTGCAGAAGCATGGACAATCTCCTCCATGTGATAAACTGCCTCTGAAAACCCACCGGAGGGTCAGCTATGGGTACCTTGCAGTTCAGTCAGACACATAACAACAAAGTATGTTTAGGTCCAAAAATGAGTGTATTTTATACTTAGTTCTCTTTCTCTTTTTTAATTGAATCAGATTGAACGAGAAGCAATTATTTTAGATAATCTTCAGGAAGAACTGCCTGAAATGTCCAAAGTCAAAGAAGCAGCCAGCATAGAGGAACTGTCTGACTGGCTAGACTGCTTAAGCCAGTATGAAGAGGGTGCAGAGCAGCAGCAGCTGATACTCGGCCTGCTGTCTTGTCGCATCAGAAGTGTCCAAAATGCACCTGAAGACACGGAGGCCATGCAGACGGTACCAGCATTCCAAGAGATTGCATCTATGCAGGAGCGATGCACCAGGTAAGACTCAGTTATGAAGATGATAAGGAAACGTGTGATAACACAGACTCATTTAACATCTTGGAAAACAGTGAGTTTAGAGACCAGTGACCAGTCTATAGAGAACTGAGCTGATAACCAAAGGCAATGTCTTGTTGGTGGTTCAGATCCCCCAGTGGCAACTTAAAATAAAGGTGGACAGTCTCCTCCCATGCAATTTAAAACCTTCTGAAAATCCTTTAGAGGCCAACAACAATGAGTGAGTTCTGACAAGTGGCAATCAGTGAGTGAATAACCAATGGCAGAACAGAATTGAGTTGATACAACATTCATTGGTATAAAACCTCAGTTGATATAAAAGTTCAGTTAGTATAAAACCACAGGAAAGTCCAGCCTTTGGATTAGTCAAACAATCTGCAGCCTATACCTCCGAGTTCCTGATTGTATGGAAAGATTACCAACCAAAGTGCAAACAAGCTCAAGTTCACTGCCCTGTCCTAGTATTGTTAAGGGTGAACATCCTTCAGATTATTTTAGAAATGCTTACTGTTTTTCTAGTTAAAACCTCACTGGCATCAAGTTGCTTCTGACACATAGCAACTCCCTAGCTGGTTTCCAAGGCTGTAAATTGCCAACAAAAGAAGACTGCCCTTTCTTTTCTCACGGAGTTATCGGTGAATCCAAACCCCCAGAGCCACACAGTGTTTAGGGTAACATCGCATCTCACCATGGACTACACTGCCACAGCTCCCTGTGGTTTTGTAATTAAACAATGTGTATCCATTGTCAAAAATTGAGACAATGTGGAAAACTATAAAGATCAGTATGACTCAGCAACTCCTGCTGTCAGTGCTCTTCCTGCAGCTCTTCTCTTCTTTTTCTCTGTGTTTATGTTTTTGAGCAAATTAAGATCATGCTGTTTCCATGATGTTTTATTGTGCAGTCATCTATCACTATATGATGTACATTGATGCTAACATGATGTTTTATTGTGCAGAGACATTTTCACTATGTGATGTACATTTTCTTTCTTCATAGGATAGTCTTATAAAATGTTGCTGTGTTTGGAAACAGGAGTGGCATCCACTTCCCAGACAGCATGCCTCTGGAAACTCCGTGAACTTTGATAAATGGCGATGGTTGTGGAAGGGCTTCAGGCCTTTTGTTCATAGGGTCGCTATAAGTTGTGCTCGACTCAACAGCAATCAACAACAACAACAAATATGGCATAATCTGTTGACCTAATCCCCTAATGTGGGTTTTTTGCATTATTTGTAATTTTTTAAAGTTTCATTAAAACTTTGCAGTAGCTACTCTGTATCTGTGATTGTTTCAAAGATGCTCCACAGACTCATTTAGTCAAATGATATAATACTTTAATGACTAGAGAGATTTACCAGATCAGATCAAATAGCTCCAAAGAAAGGATTTATTCATTTAATATCACAGCAGCACATGAGAGTAAAGAAACATCAACTTTCAAATCTGGTGACTACATCTGTAGCAAATGAGATCAGGTCAAGATGATAAAACAGCTGGACTGAGGGTGGCTAGTGAAGTCCTCTGTCTTCTCCAGGCCCACGTAGAGTTCATTTTACATCTCCAAGTGAGCTGACCTCAAAAGATAGTTTGAGATTAAAAATGGAGGGCAGAAAGGGATGTAAAGTGAGAAGAGGATTTGCAGCTGAAAAATATGAAATTTTTTGGTTGGATGATAGTCTTTATATGTTTGCATACATATAAAAATCATTAAATTTTTTTTTTTATTAGGAAAAACTCTCCTTGGGCTTTGAAGAATTTTGTTAATTGTTGAAAAAAAACTTTATAGAAGAGTGAGATCCGTGGTTAAAAATAATAATTGTTTTAGTAATTCAATTAATAATTTTTAATTCAATATATTGTAGGCTTTTTGAGAAAGCTCAAAAAAGTAAGGAATTGGTGCAGAATGAAATCCAAGAAAGACATTCCTACAGAAAAGAATTAATAGCTTTGAAGATTTTGTTCCAACGGACCCTGACTTCTTTGCAGACTATGGAATTACAAGATCACCCAGAAAAGACAGAACAGTTCTCCGTAAGTGAGAGATGAACTAGTGATGCAGAGTCAGTCTTGTATCAGCATCTTGGATCAGCAGTAGTGCCCGACTAAAGGGAGGGGTGTGGTCTGTAGAAAGAGGGAAGTGTGGCCAGAGCCCCTGTGGCAGCCTGTGGGTAGAGCCATTGAAGGTCACTGCGGTGGTGGAGGAGACAACAGTGCTCAGGCCAGATTGGGAAGGACGGTCAATCTGTTTAACCATGTTTCCATTCTGACAGTTGTGTTTGATGAACTGGGACCACAGCCCACTCAGTTGGCATAATAGGCAATGCCTCTTAATAAGTTGCAGTGTGTTAAAACTCTCAAAAGAGTTGTGCACACACTAAGGTTCATGTGCAAACTCATTTTTTTAGATTGATCAGATTTTGTTCCAGTCCTGTGAATAATACCCAAAATGGATATTTGGAAGTCTATTCAAAGTCACATAGTCTGGGGGTCTGGAGGGTCAGATACTCTTGTTTATTAGAGCTTTTGATCCCTAAGCGTTGAAAAAAGTAAACTTACAGAGACAGTCTTCATGGAAAGCCGTCTTAGTTCTGAGTGAAATCTTTTACTGTGGGACTAAGTCTAGCTAAAACAGCATCACACTTCACGTCTGTCTCAATAGCATTGTTGTTTAACTTTCCCTCTATGGATTTGCTCCCTGTTGAGGATTAACAAAAGGAAAATGGTGACACATCACAGAGTCATTTAAAATTGTAATCATTCATCAGTACAATGACTCACTCCATTAACACAAACGATACTACCGAACAGCTACTGTGGATAGAAAAAACAAACCCCAACTATAGTAAAGTCAAGAAGTACTTTTCCACTTGATCTTTGGGAAACTTTCCCCAACAAATGAGTCTCTCCTTTATAATTACTGAGAGAGAACGTAGATCAGATTTTGTTTCTAGGCCACAACCAATAGACTTTTTGTTCAGCTTTCTTTTATCTCCTAAAACCAACATTCTTTGCATGGAACTGGAACCCTCCCTTTCGAAAAGAAGTGGAGCTCCGCTGGGCTGTCTAATTACATGAAAGCAGACACTTCTGCTTCAAACATAGGGCTTTTAGTGGCCTTGAAGCATTGTAATGATAATGTAGAAAGAGGCAGAAATGGCAACAAGTTAATAACAAATAACAACAAAAAAACTTTTTAAAACATTTTACTGCTTGTAGCTTTTTCAGATCAGGACTACAATTTGATACCTTAAATCAGTGAGCTACTTTAGAAGTAGGGGATGTTGTAATGTCTTTCTACAACAATGCTTTGACACTCTGAAGAGATATCAAGTTTAATTCTTACAAATTAGAAGGTATCATCTGAGTAAACTGAGTATCTCTCAGACTTAGTCAGCATGTGTCAATTGTGAAGTTTCACGATGCAGAGTTTGGCCATTTAAATCATAGGCTGGGCTAGAAAGCAGTTTTCTGTTTTAGAGTTAATTTCCACCCCTTGTTCTGTGAGTATTAAAACTTCTCTTGTGTTTTAGGAGCTTCAAAACAGCCTTAAGAAACAGAAGCGAACTTTTGAAGATATAATGGAAAAACTACGAATCAAGTATTCTGAGATGTACACCATAGTCCCTGCAGAGCTTGAATGCCAGATGGAAGAATGCCGAAAAGCCTTAGAAGACATAGATGAGAAGGTAATAATGTCCATGCTTCTATTGTTATATTTGAAGTTAAATGCATAGAGAAGAACAAAATGATCTTAACACATTTTCTTTTTTTTTCTGATTTCAGTTATGGCTATATCCAGGTTTGTTAAATTACATTTCTGTGTAATGAATATTGCGATGACGTTGCAATTAATGACATTAAATAA